TGCAGGCGGCGGCCCTGGCCGCCTTCAAAAAGATGAGCAGCGAACTGGCGAGGATTACGGCCGACCATGCCGTTTGCAAGGACAGGATCCACTCTCTCCAGGACGACCTCAAGAAGTCCGAACTGCTGCAGATGAAGATTGTCGAACTTGAAGGTGAACTGAAGGTGGTTCGATTGGAGAAAGTGAGGCTGATTGAACAGGCAGACAGTGCCAAAAAGCAGCTGGCCGAGGCCGAAAAGGAGCTTGCCGCGGCGAAATTGAATGCTGAGGAGGCCGTCCGGAGACTTGCTGCGACCGAACGGGAAAGGGACACGGCGCTGGCCGCACAAGAAAGACTCCGGTCCGAGTTGGAGGGAGCGGGACAATCCCGCGGCTCGTATGAAGACGGCTTCGAGAGGGGCCGTTTGGCTGGGTTGCAAGAGTACAACAAGACGGACAAATTCCTGGCCGACATGGACTTGAACGCGGCGCTCGGACTGAACTGGGTTATCCATGCGATGAAGGATGGAGGGAAGACTCTGAAGGACCTCGAGGCTATTCGTGATATCAAATTCGAGCGGCTGGCTCTGCCCGAAGAGATGAAGATTTCGGCCGTGATCGCGGATGACGATGAGAAAACCTATGACAGCCGTCTGATGGACTCCGCCTTTTCCAAATCCGCCGCAGATACGACCGGGGCCGGTCCGAGCCACCCTCCCGACCGTCAAGGTGAAGGAACGGGCGAAAATGATGAGGATGCTAGGAATGGACAACCACCCCCCGTTTGACTTTCGATCACTTTCTAGTTGCTATCTCTGTTTTTTCTTTAAGTATGTTTGCGTATGTTGCTTGCTGTTTTGAACAACTTATTTTAATTTGCATTTCCGAATGTTGGTGTGTTCCGAGCCCGGGGATGGTTTATTCCCTGTAGGGTTCGGGTATTTGTGTGATTTCCCTATGTATGGAAAATGAACTAAGTGTGGTATTTTATGTTTCCGTTGCTTAATATCTTCATGCCGCTTCAATCTTGATCGGACAACTTTAAGTGATCCGGTCGTTACCCTACTTGGGGTCATTTGATTTTTGATCGGACGACCTTAAGTGGTCCGATACCGGGCAAACTTAAGTGGTCCAGTTGTTACCCTACTTGGGGTCATTTGATTTTTGATCGGACGACCTTAAGTGATCCG